AAAAGCAAGAGTTTACTATTAAACAGTGACAAAAACCTATTATAAAGAAGCTCATCTGATTACCCAGTGAAAATGCTTAATTTTTAAAATCCCAAAAAATGACAACATGAACTATCTAAGAATGAAAGAAAACTTCTTATTTAGCAGCACACATACTTTGGAAGTGAAAACTGGAGAAAAGATAACTGTTTTTACTTTTCACGTTGTTCTTGGAAAATCACTATTCAAATCCCTTTTATAAATATATGTTCACTAATAAAAACATGATAACAGAAAGGGATATATATGTTTTTAAATGGTATATGTTTTCTTTTATGATGAAACATTATAGATAGCCCAGATCCTTTATGGGGTGAAACTGTTCCATAAAAATATTAGCAAAAGAAAGTAAAATTGATAAAAAATAAAGTAGTAAAGAAAAAAAAATTTTTTTAAAGAATGACAGTTGGTTTAAACAAACTTTAAAGCAACAGCAGTTAAAAGAGACAAAGAAGGATATTATATAATGATAAAAGGTCTTGTCCAACAGGAAAATATCACAATCCTAAACATATATGTACCTAACGCTGGAGCTTCCAAATTTATAAAACAATTACTGATAGACCTAAGAAATTAGCAACACAATAATAATGGGGAACTTCAGTATTCCACTGACAGCCCTAGACAGGTCATCAAGACAGAAAGTCAAAAAGAAATAATAGATTTAAATTATATGTTGGCACAAATGGACTTAACAGATATGTACGGAACATTTCATCCAGCAACTGCAGAATACACATTTTATTCAACAGCTCATGGAACTTTGTCCAAGATAGACTATATGATAGGCCATAAAATGAACCTTAATAAATTTAAGAAACTTGAAATTATATCGAGTACTGTCTCAGTTCACAGGGGAATAAAACTGGAAGTCAACTCCAAAAGGAACCTTCAAAACCATGTAAATACATGGAAATTAAGTAACCTGCTCCTTAATAAACATTGGGTCAAAAACAAAATCAAGCTGGAAATTAAAAAATTATTTGAACTGAACGACAATAATTACACAACCTATCAAAACCTTGGGGATACAGCAAAGGCTGTGCTAAGAAGAAAAGTCATAGCCCAAGAGCACTAACTGACATTCTAAGGTTGCACCTCAAGAAACTAGAGAAACAAGAACAAACCAAACCCAGCAGAACAAAGGAAATAACCAAGATCAGAGCAGAACTAAATGAAATGGAAACAAAACAAAAAATGCAAAAGATAAATGAAACAAAAAGCTGGTTCTTTGAAAAGATAAATAAAATTGATAGACCATTAGCAAGATTAACCAAATTAACCAAATAACCTCATTAACAAACAATACAGGAGATACTGCAACTGACACCACTGCAATACAAAAGATCATTCAAGGCTACTATGCACACCTTTACGCACGTAAACTAGAAAACCTGGAAGAGATGGATAAATTCATGGAAAAATACAACCCTTCTAGCTTAAATCAGGAAGAATTAGATACCCTGAACAGACCAATAGAAAAGCAGCGAGATTGAAATGGTAATTAAAACATTACCAACTTAAAAAAGTCCGGAACCAGACAGAGTCACAGCAGAATTCTACCAGACAATATTCCACAGGATAGAGAAAGAAAGAAAACCCTCCCTAATTTAATCTGTAAAGCCAGCATCACCCTTATTACAAAACCAGGAAAGGACAAAACCAAAAAAGAAAAAACTACAGACTGATATCCTTGATGAACATAGATGCCAAAATCCTTAACAAAAGACTAGCTAACCAAATCCAACAACATATCAGAAAGGTAGTCCACCATGATGAAGCAGGCGTCATACCAGGGATGTAGGGATGGTTTAGCATATACAAGTCAATAAATGTGATACCCCACATAAACAGAATTATAAATCACATGATCATCTCAGAGATGCAGAAAAAGCATTTGACAAAATACAGCATCCCTTTATGATTAAAACTCTCAGCAAAATTGGCCTACAAGTAACATATATCAATGTAATAAAAGCCATCAGTGACAGACCCACAGCCAACATAAAACTGAATGGGAAAAAGTTGAAAGCATTTCCTCTGAGAATGGGAACAAGACAAGGATGCCCACTCTCACCACTCCTTTTCAACATAATACTGGAATTACTAGCCAGAGTAATCAGACAAAAGAAAGAAATAAAGGGCTTCCAAATCGATAAAGAAGAAGTCAAACTGTTACTGTTTGCAGATGATATGATTGTTTACCTTGAAAACCCTTTCTCTTTCCTTCAGAGAAAGCTCCTAGAACTGATAAAAGAATTCAGCAAAGTTTCTGGATACAAAATTAATGTACACAAATCAGTAGCTCTTTTATACAACAACAGCAACCAAGTGGAGAATCAAATCAAGAACTCAACCCCTTTTACAAAAGCTGCAAAAATAAAATACTTAGGAATATACCTAACCAAGGAGATGAAAGACCTTTACAAGGAAAACTACAAAACTGCTGAAAGAAATCATAGATGACACTCATGGTTGGGTAGAATCAATATTGTAAAAATGACCATACAGACAAAAGCAATCTACAAATTCAATGCAATTCCCATCAAAATACCACCATCACCCTTCACAGAACTAGAAAAAACATCCTAAAATTCATATGGAACCAAAAAAGAGCCCACGTAGCCAAAGCAAGACTAAGCAAAAAGAATAAATCTGGAAGCATCTCACTACCTGATTTCAAACTATACCTCAGGCCATAGTCACCAAAACAGCATGGTACTGGTATAAAAATAGGCACATAGAACAGTGAACAGAAATAAAGCCAAATAGTTACAGCCAACTGATCTTCGACAAAGCAAAGATAAACATGAAGTGGGGAAAGGACACTCTTTTCAACAAATGTTGCTGTGATAGTTGGCTAGCCACATGTAGGAGAATGAAACTGGATCCTCATCTCTCACCTTACAGAAAAATCAACTCAAGGTGAATTAAGGACTTTCAGACCTGAAACTATAAAAATTCTAGAAGATAACATTGGAAAAACTTTTCTAGACATTGGCTTAACCAAGGATTTCATGACCAAGAACCCAAAGCAAATGCAACAAAAACAAAGATAAATAGCTGGGAACTAAAGAGCTTTTGCACAGCAAAAGGAATAGTCCGCAGAGTAAACAGACAACCCACAGAGTGAGAGACAATCTTCACATTCAATGCATCAGACAAAGGACTAATATCCAGAAGCTACAATGAACTCAAATCAGTAAGAAAAAAAAAATTACATCAAAAAGTGGGCTAAGGACGTGAATAGACAGTTCTCAAAGGAAGACGGACACATGGCCCGCAAATATGAAAAAATGCTCCGCATCACTAGTGATCAGGGAAATGCAAATTGAAACCACACTGCAGTACCACCTTACACCAGCAAGAATGGCCAAAATAAAAAAATCAAAAAACACTGCTGGCGGGAATGTAAATTAGTACAACCACTATGGAAAACAGTGTGGAGATTCCTTAAAGAACTAAGAGTAGAACTACGATTTGATCCAGCAATCCCACTACTGGGATCTACCCAGAGGAAAAGAAGTCATTATACAAAAAAGATACTTGCACACGCATGTTTATAGCAGCACAATTCACTATTGCAAAATTGCGGAACCAATCCAAATGCCTATTAATCAATGAGTGGATAAAGAAACTGTGGTATATTTATATGATGGAATACTACTCAGCTATAAAAAGGAATGAATTAACGGCATTTGCAGTGACCTGGATAATATTGGAGACTGTTTTTCTAGGTGAAGTAACTCAGGAATGGAAAACCAAACATTGTATGTTGTCACTGGTATGTGGGAGCTAAGCTGTGAGGACACAAAGGTGTAAGAATGATACAGTGGACTTCAGGGGAAGAGTGGGAGGGTGGCAAGGGAAAAAGACTACAAATATGATGCAGTATATACTGCCTGGGTTATGGGTGCACCAAAATCTCTCAAATCACCACTAAAGAACTTACTCATGTAACCAAATACCACCTGTACCCCAGTAACTTATGGAAGAAATAAATGAATGACAGCAGAGTCTTCATCAGAGCCAATATTCCTCCTGAATGTAAATAGAACTAAACAAGATTTTGGCAAATCAAGTCTAACAACATATTAAACAGATGATACGTTATGACTAAGTGGGCTTATCCCAGGTGTGGAGGGTTGATTTAATGTTTGAAAATCAATCAGTTAACTAAAAAAAGATCACCTCAGTAGACATAGAAAAGTTTTATGGCAAAATCCAACATCCATTTCTGATTAAAAAGCTCTCAGCAAAGTAGGAATAGAAGGAAATTTCTTAACCTGATAAGGGCATATATGAAAAACCTACAGCTAGCATCATATTGAATGTGGGCTGGGCATGGCGGTGGCTCACACCTTAATCCCAGCACTTTGGGAGGCCAAGGTGGGCAGATCATGAGGTCAGGAGTTTGAGACCAGCCTGACCAACATGGTGAAACCCTGTCTTTACTAAAAATACAAAAATTAGCCACATGTGGTGGCATGTGCCTGTAATCACAGCTAGGGAGACTGAGGCAGGAGGATTGCTTGAACCTGGGAGGCAGAGGTTGCAGTGAGCTAAGATCACACCACTTCACTCCAGACTGGGCGAGAGAGCAAGACTCTGTCTAAAAAAACAAAAAGGAAAACTGAATGTGTTGCTGTAAGATCAGGAATAAGACAAAGACGTCTGCTCTCTTCGCTATGCCTGGCCGAAATGTTTTTTTTTAACTATTTTATTTCAGCAGGTCTAGTTGTTCATCTTACTGGATTTCTTACACACTATTCTGAAACCTGTTGTCTTTGTGTTTAGATTATTTGGGGGACTGAGGTTTATTTCTGTGATATCCTTCATCTGTGATATCCCCAGCTGCTCAAAATAGGTTATTGGTTTTTTTCTGCCATTATAACTGAGCTCACTTCATCTTCTTGTTGAATTCTAATTGAAGCTCATTTTTCTCCCCTTTTTATTTTCAGATATTTGTATCTGCTGTTCTCCGGTGATGACCTTTTACCTTTAGACCACTGGGTGTTTAATACAGAGGCTCACCCTCTGCCTGTGTTACATTTAGCCAACACCACACTTTCAGGTAATCCTGCTGTTCGATGAAAGCAGTTCCAGAAGGACCATTCTCACCTGTGTTTTGTTTACATGGACCACTACAGAAATTCGTTTGCAGAGGCGGCTTTTGAAAACCTGGACCTCTCTGTCAACATGACAGGGTGAAACTATTCTCCCTAAGACTTTTCAACTTGTAGATGTATCAGCTTTGAAATTATTCCATTTTATACCTGACCAAAAACATGTTCTGGTATGTGTAGGACAGAGACCTGGATGTGCTTCGATTGGTAATGAGGTGGTCTCATGAGAATTGATGCCTGGTACTATGGTATTGGTTCTTTAGAGTCCTGAAGTCTGGAGGCTAGACTTCCTGAAAGCAAGCCAAGAATAAAGAGCACCTTGCAGGATTTAAAGATGGCCTTTGGAACCAATTATACATTTGTTTCCTCCTACAGTGGAGCAGCGTTCAAATCAAATATTTACACATTGCTTATCCCTTTTTCTCCATTTTAATAATGGAATGAACTAAAAGAAACAAGAACGAAAGAGTAGTTTAACTGCATCAGTAACAAGAAGACTCAAAAAAGAAACAGGAGTACCCATCCCTATCTGAATTTTCAAGTTCCCCATTGGATGACCAGACTGGCAACCGTTTCAAATCCTAATCTATTTCATTGAAATTTCTTGATTACATTTAATTTTCTCTGGGGGCATGATCTCACAAAGAATACTCTTCAAGTCTTTTTCTCCATATGGAATCATCGAAACTGATATTTATCATAATCACCGCTTAGGAGCCTGAGTTTGGGATTTTGTGCATGTAGTTCAGTCTAATGTTGGTAGCATGATAGAAAGTGGGGAAAATGCCGCAGTTTGTTGCCTTGAAACCTATTCTAAGAGAAATCCTTTGTTTTGTTGGTACATTATTTTTTCCAGACGATCACATCTACCACGTAAATTTTACCTACTTTAATCTCATAATAAAGTTAAGAGAGTCACTCAACTTACTACTTTATTTATGTGGCTTGGCAAAAAAAATCTCTATACCATTAGGCAGCTCTAAATTTGCCTTGATAAGCTAAATTACTTTTATAACTTACTAAAACAAAACAAACACAGTGAAACTTTCTTATTCTATCTGGAATGGGGGGGTCTTTTATTTATAATCTCATCAGATGAGTGAGTTGTTCACACATATTGTATTTTTTTAAATTTTCTCCAAGAATATTTATGGAAATAAAGAATCAGAATAGTTTCAAAATTTTCAGTGATAAAAGAGTGGTGTAATTAATCATATTACACTAAAATTGGGATACATCTAATGGACTTTATCTTACTATCAGTAGGTTTTGCATTGCCATTTCTTTTTAAATAAACTACTAGTTCTTTATATTTTGGCAAAAAGAACTTAAATTTTATCAGAAACCATAAGATAAATATCTAGTGCTTATAAATTTTCTGTCCTTAAATTTATGTGACATTGCAAGATACATTTTTGCTCTTTTCGTTTAATATAGACATCTTCCATTGACATTAATAAAAGATAGAAACAGTATAATTAGTATAATATTTACTCTGAATTTGAAGATTTCATGAAACCAAGTTTGTACAAGAAGCCCACCTTGGAATTCTGAAGGCTTATTTTCTTGTTTGATAGCATTTGTTTTTAAATTAGCTTTTAGATATAAGTTGGGAAAGGATTTAATTAATAATTATTTTCTAAGGTAGATCATCTTATACCACAAATCATTAATTTTGACAGTTCTGCTGATGATCCATAAATGATAACCACTGCAAAATTTTTCAGTATACATAGAAAATAAGGATGCAGGGCCAGTTACAATAGTCCTTAAGAGAGTTAAATTATAGCACATGTTTTGACATTGTAATATCTTTTACTACTTGAACATTTAAATTTCTACATGAGAAGATATACATATTACTGTAACTGTAGAAGGGAAAAGGCAAAGTATTTGGTTCTTAAAAAAACAGCCTTCCTCATAAAAGTAGCACAAGCCCACTTATGAATCACTAAGAAAAACCAAAAAACTTGAATTGGCAAAGACCCAGAGCAGCAGTGCAGATGGAATGAACTCTGAATTTTCTTTCACCTTGTTTAGAAGAATGCAGAGTTAAGGGACCTTCTTTGTTCCCCAGGAACTTCTCAAGGGATAAGGAGACAGAACCCCTACTCCCAAGTGCCCTATTTGTATTACTTAGATGACTAGAACTTAAGAGAAGGCAAGGAAGTATACAAGCAGAGTCAGTTCTGGTACAAGCAAAGAATTTGACAGGGACAATGGAAGGGTCTTCTTCACCACTCCCTACCTTCTGTGTGATGGAAAGACCAGAGCTTATAAAAGTACTTCGATTTTTTTCTTCTCCTGAATACCAAAGGCAGTTAAAGTCAGCTACAAATGACTTGGCAGTGTCATGTTTTATTTTTGTAATAGATTTTTAAATTATTTCCTTCAAGATCAATTCTCATCCCATATAATGCTTAGCTTCCAAGAGTATTCTTTACTTCTGTCTTTTACAGCTCTTTACATTTTGTAGACCTTAATACTCAGGTTAAATATCCATTGCAATTTTAAGACCTTCTGCAAAGAACCCAGATATGGTCCTTTCCAGGTGCCTCTTCAAAGAGCTGACACCTTACCTGTGCCTTTGGTACAAATGTGCAGAATAGGTAGGTCAGTTGGTGCATAATAGAAAAAAAAATGGGAATTTTGAACACTCTTCTGTCTTCTACATTTATTTCTCTTCATTTTAGATTCACACTTTTTATGTTAAACCAGATTTTTTTTATTCAAGCAGTATTAAGTTGTTAAAACCAAGACAGTGGGGCCCTAACCAAAAAGAAGTCTCAACTCACAAAAATATGTGGTTTTTACTTTCTTGTGGGTTGCACATTTTATATCTCTCTAACACCAACGTCTTCCTGACTTTAAGCAGATGTTCGTATGTAAAAGTAAAACCTGGGTATCGAAGGAATGCATTCTTTTCATGGAGTATTGACCCTGATCCTCTATGATGTCATCTAGGGCAACTCAGGGCTATACTTGCTAGATTTTAACCAAGCAGTTTGAAATCTTATCCTCTCATCCTCTCCACTCCCCATTGCCAAAGTCTTTGTCAGAACTCCAAATTTGTTGATAAAAGATTGTGTTTGCCATTCTCATTACAATGCAGTTTCTCCTTAAGCCTGGAGCTTTTTGAATAAGTGCTTTTTGAATGAGTAAATAAGAGGATGAGTGAACAAACATTAATGAAGTATCTAACATGTGCCAAGCATTGTGCCTGGCACTTCCAATCATTATGATGTTTTATGTGATTCCACAGCATTTTCTGTATGAGAGTAGTTCACAACATTTTAAATGTTTCCAATATGAATCGTGTTACAAAATTCTTAATTTTATATTTCATATAAATTAAAGAGGAAAAAGAAAAGGTTTATAATATATTTTAAAACAATGTGTTACTATATACTAACAACTATAATTGTAGTTAATAAGCAAAATCTCTTGAACATGTCAAAGAAATATTTGATTTATGATGCAACTTTGACTAAAATATTTACTTTAGAAATAAAAACATTATTTTGCTATATCATTTTAATTGCATAATTAAAAAGCAGTGTTTTATAGAAATGCTGGTTATTTTATATTCAAAAAGATGTTGCCACATAATTCATGGGTAAACCTTACAGTTGTAAATTGTCTTTGCTCTGATATGCGCCCTATTAATAGTCCCATGCTGTTAAATATAAAGAAAAATATACTAAAATATTTCAAAGTTCCAAACAAGAGTTCCTAGTAATAGTATTTTGAGTTATTTTTCTTTAGAATTCCTTATACGCAAATTGGCTAGCTCCTATCTTTTCCACTCTTTACATATATATATGATCTATGTATGTATATAAATACAATTATACACAGGTAAAATTTTAATACTTTTTGTTAATAAACACAGCTGAAAACTGGTTTTGGCCGCACAAATTATAAGAAGAATATTTGAGTAACTGTATATGATATGGAGCTATTTTAATCCATTTATTCTGGGTCAATAACACTGTTAAAGATGCTTTTCTGTTACTTTGGCTCATTCAGATCATGAGATGCTCTTTTTGATCTGTAACTGATCAGCAAGCTTCCAGATAATATTTTAGGCTATGGGAGTTAAACAGTCTCTCTTATTACTCATTTCTGCTGTTGAAGTGTTGAAAACAGGTATAGCTACTATGTAAAGAATGGGTGTAGCTGTGTTCCAGGAAAACTTTATTTACAAAAGCAGATGGAGGGCTGGATTTGGCCCATGGGTCATAGTTGGTGACCCTAATCCCAAGTTTAGTTTGTGTTAGACCCTCTAACCTTTGATCTATGTGTTTTCTCCCTGTTTTGACTTGCACAATTCATTTTTAAATCAAAAAGATGTGTGTATGTATGATTGTGTATATTTGTATAACCTAAAACTATATATTTTGTTGTCTTGAAAGTAGATTCACTCCTCCTGGAGTCTGTTCAGGTTTCAGGATGATTAACTATAATGAAAGAGGCAGAATGGGGTTAGGGAAGGTGGGTCTGCTATCAGCCATTATCTTCTCCTTGTTATTTAATGCCGTAATTTCAGATCTCTGTGTAAAAGGAAGGTCTGTGTATTGTCAAAATACTTATTCTCCAAGTTCTGCTCCTTGGCCCTTGGACTGGGATTCTGGATTGCTGGAGCTGCAGAAATTCATCCACTTGGGTACTCTTAGAGCTCTACAACAAGAATGTGATAAAATGTCTGATCTTTGTGCTGCAGAAAGCAAACTTTTGAAGAATTCTAAGCAATAGAAAATGGGTTATGTGACTCATCTATTTGGCAGCCACCATCCCTTTTTAGACTGCAGAACGGTACTGCCCCTGTTACCTCTAGAATAGCCTGAATCTGATGAGTACAGAGAAAAGATGTATCCAAAAGGAGAATCCCTTTCTCTTGCATAACTCTCCTCAATTCCTTTACAAGTCAGTAGCATTATTTCAGAAGTTGATATGCATCATTTTTCAACTAAAGCATACCTCATCCTTAAACTTCCACTATTTAACAGCTAATCCATTTCAAACTTGGTTTGAGCCCAGTAATTGCAGAACTCATAAAATTGCTCATGAAATTACACACCACATTACTAGCATATACATTGCAGTGCACCAGTCATACTAATAGATAATAGAGTTTTCTTTAAGAAGTTTATATTTTACTATTTGGGGAAATTTTAGAGGAGGGGAAGCCTGTATTCAGAATGATAGAGGGGCGGAGACTTACTGTCTCTCTTCCACATTGTAAATGAGCTGCCTTTCCAGGTCCAACATGCTGTAAGGTTGCTTCGGCTCAGTGTGAATGTAATTGTGGGAACTCAAACACATACACCCATACCCACACATATTAATATGCAGAGGATTTTAAATAATTGCAAATGTCTTGTGGTTATTTGATTTCTACAGAATTCTACTGCAAGGTGTATACCGGAAAACATAATAAAGATAAGCTTGGTTCTTCATTGGGAAAAAATATTTTTAAAGAAAATTCAGAAATTTTTGCTGACCGAAAGTATCTTCAATTTTAATTACTGGATTTGGAGGTTGAAATGCCATCCTTCAATCTCACTGGTTTCAAATTCATTGATAGATTTTTTTTTCCTAAACTAGTAAGCGGGGCAACTAATAGCCTCCTAAATTGGTACCCACTGGCTGCTCCTGAACTGGTTTCCAGTCATGTCCTCTAGTATGTGATTTTTACAAATTAAAGGTAATATTGTATATTGAAGTTCAAATAAAGATGTTCTTTAAGTGAAAAGTCTTTTGTTCAGCCTTCATTTTTACCCACTGATGATAGTTTGGTTTCTTCCTATGTACAGAAGAGCAGCTTTGGCCTTTATGGTAACTGATAGTCTTCAGTGTCTCTTTCAGAGTATTTCCCTTGGATCAGCTGATCCTTACATTCTTGATGTTAGAGAAAGATGAAGAGTTTGGTTAGAGAGTCGTTTTTTATTCCAATTGATTTTGAGAAAACAAATCATAGACCTATGTGACAACCTTACAGTGTTACTGTGATGCTATCTCTAAGACCTAGTCCAGTCCAGCCTCTGAGATCATCAAGCTGAAAGATTGCCTCAGCCACTGGACCTCATTCTGTCACGTTAAAATCTGACCTGACCCTCCTTAAGTGATTCTTGGGCAAATATAGGCCCAAAAGACTTGAGCAATAGGATCAGCTCAACTATAGATAGTGGTTTGGTCTGTCAATACTATAAAAGCACAGGATATTTAAAACCCTGTACCCAGGGAACATCAAATAAGTTAGTTGTAAAAACCTTCTGAACTAATAGCCAATTTACATGCTTCATGTGTTAATTCTTCGCTGCACAGTGGATTTCAACTTGATCAAAATTTTAGACTAAAATTACATTGTGAATGTATCAAAATTAATTGCAGACTTATATTTTCTGGAGCAACTAAAACTAAAACAGGACCAGGAAAAAAATTTAAAAATAAGGAGCTCTAAGTGACTATAGTTTGATAAAATCTGGGATTCTCTTTGCCAGATAGCTGAAATATTCATCTTTATTTCATTGGATTGCAAAGGAACTGTCATCATGCAAATAGCATTCAGAATGGTTCAGATACTAAGCCTGCACCTTTTTCTTGATTGACCTAACAAGTTTCTTTTGTTATTTTTTATTGTGATAAAATATATCTAAAAGAAAATTTGCTATTTTTACCATATAAGTGTACAGTTTGATGTCATTAATAATTACATCAGCAATGTCATGCAACTGTTGCCACTACCCATTTCCAGATTTTTCACCATTCCAAACAGAAATTCTGTAACCATTAAAAGCAATGATTCCCCAGTGCTCCCTTTCATCCCCCAACTCCTGGTGTATTAGTCCGTTTTCATGCTGCTAATAAAGACATCCTGACAGGGTAATTTATAAAGAAAAAGAGGTTTAATGGACTCACAGTTTCACATGGCTAGGGAGGCCTCACAATCAGGGTGGAAGGCAAAGGAAGAGCAAAGGCATGTCTCACATGGCAGCAGGCGGGAGAGCTTGTACAGGGGAACTGCCCTTATAAAACCATCAGCTCTCATGAGATTTATTCACTGTCACAAGAACAGCAGGGGCAAAATCTCACTACCGTTATTCAGTCACCTCCTACCAAATCCCTCCCACAACATGTGGAGATTATGGGAGCTACAATTCCAGATGAGATTCAGGTGGGGACACAGCAAACCATAGCACCTGGCAATCTTAAATCTACTTTCTAAGACAGATTTCACTACTAAATCTTCTACTAAATCTTCTTGCCTCAAAAAGAGGGATAAAACAGGATTTTTAGCAGAATTAAATGAGAAAAATCCAGGCACCTAACCCAAATTTAGCTTAAAGATTTAGGTGTTTTAAAGTATTTTTGTTAGCAGATTGGAGTAATCATTTCTAAAGGAATATAAAAAAAAAAAAAAAACATAAAGAAGGGCAATTAAAACAAGGCAATGAAGAGCCAAGAAAACCATCTAATTAGACCTTCTTATTTTAGGCACAAAGAAACTGAAACCCGAAAGGGAGGGTAAGATGCAGGCATTAGATGATCTTTAAGATAGTCTTTCAGTGTTACCATTCTGTGAAATAAGACGTGTAGTTTTATTGTGGTTATAAAAAAAGCTTAACATGCAAATACATCAATAATGCATGTGAACCAAACAGTTTAAAAACTAGAGTAGAAGTCATTTTTTGTTAGATACACATCAAAAATATATACAAAAAGTTAATAGCAGTTATCATTGTGTGGTAAGGATATAAGATTTTTTTGCAATTTCCCTGTGTAACTTAAAAAAATTTTTTATTGAGGTGTGATTTACATAAAATATTCCCATTCTAAGTGTATTATTAAATGATTTTTAGTAAGTTTATAAAACTGTACAACCATCCCACAATCCGCAAAGATCCCATATATTCGTTTGCAGTCAGTCTCCATTTTCATCCCAGCCACTGGTAACCACTGGTCTGCTTTCTGTCTCTGTAGATCTGCCTTTTAACTGGACATTTCATATTAATGAAATCAAACAATATGTGATCTTTTGCATCTGGCTTCTTTAAACTAGCATAATGTTTTGCATTTAAGGTTTAGCAACACTGTAGCAACTATCAAGAGCTATTCCTTTTTACTGCTGAAAAAATTTCATTGTATGGATATACCATATTTAATTTATCCGTTCACTAACGGATAGACATTTGGACTGTTTCCAGTTTTTGGTTATTATGAATGATGCTGTTAAGAATATTTGCATACAAGTCTTTGGATGGATATATGTCTTCATCTCTCGAGTACATACCTAGGAGTGGAATTTCTGAGTCGTATGGTAAAGCTATGTGTAACTTTTCAAGAAATTACCACAGTGTCTCCCATAGTACTGTTTTTACATTCTCACTAGCAATGTATGATGGCAAGGATACCAGTTTCTCCACATCCCCACTAATACTTGTTATTGTGTTTTTATTATCTGCCTTTTTTATTATAACCATTTTAATGGATGTGAAGTTGTATCTCACCGTGGTTTTAATTTTCATTGCTTAAATAACTAATGACATTGACCATCTGTGATAGTAGCTGTTCATGTCTTTGGTAAAATGTCTATTCCAATATTTTGCCCATTTTAAAAATTGAATTGTCTTATTGAGTTATAAGAGTTCTTTGTATATTCTATATTTTCTCTAAGATTGTGGTTTGTCTTTTCCATTTTTTGCTGGTGTCTTTGACATGCAAAGATTTTAATTTTAATGAAGTGCAGTTCATCAATGTCTTCTATGGATTGTACTTTCTTTCATAATCCAAAGTCACTAAGAGTTTAGACCTATTTTTTTAAACTTTTATAGTTTTAGCTCTTACATTTAGGTCTATGATTCATTTTGAGTTAATTCCTCATGAATATGAAGGTTCTAACAATGTTTTGGGCATTAATATCTAATTTTCACAGTATTTATTGAAAAAGACTATTCCTTTCCCATAAATTGCTTTGGTATCTTGATGAAATATCCACTGACATTAATTTCTGGACTTTTAATTTTGTTCCATGGATATATGTATTTTCGTTTTCCAGTAGCACACTATGTTGATAACTGGCTTTAGAGCAGTAGTTCTCAGCCAGAGGGTGATTTTGCCCTTCCTCCCTTCAGGGACATTTCGCAATGTCTGAAAACATTTTTGATTGTCAGGACTGGGGGTAGGGGGCGATTCTGGCATCTAGTGGGGTAGAATTCAGGTACTTTTTTTCCTGCAAGTGGGTCACTCTTTCCTGTTTCTTCGCATACCTTACAGTTTTTTTTGTTGAAAACTGGACATGATTGTAGAAGTCTGGGTTCTGATCTGATCTCTCTGACCCAGGGAGGTGGTTAGTTGTTGAAACTGCTCTTCTGTTTGTTTAGTGATTGGTGCAGACTAATTCTTTGGAGGCTCTTTTCCCCATGTTGCATCATCATTGATGTCTTTGCTTAGTTTTGTATCTTTAAAATCTTTTTTATATTTTTTTAAGCCTGGCGTCCAAGGAGTCAGCCCTGTGTCAATATAGTTTAGTGGTCAGCTAATGATTTGTCAGAGGTTATACCCAAATACCTTTGGCTAGGAAGGGCTTCTACACGTTGCCAGTGGATCCAGGTGTAAGCTGGAGAACACATTCAAAGTTTGTGCAGTTTACAAGTCTTCCCAGCTCCTACTTCACCCAAGACCTCCTGTTCAAGGCCTCACATTTAGTCAGGAATGTTCGGAGGTAGCTAGGGCTTTCTCTGGTTCCTCTTAAATCGTGCTCTACCTTGTCCTTGCATGCATCCCTCCATGCCACCGGAGATAGGTGGCAAGTATACTGTGGCCGTCTCGTTCCACGAATCTCCCTGTTAAGTTTCTTGCTTGTTTGCCAATCTCTTGCTTGGCCCAACCAGAACCAAAACCTCAGGCTAGCTGCACTGGCCTTTCCCGTTCTTTTGCTGCTCAGATTCCTTTGGTTTCTAACGATGACCAGGAGCACTGAGTTCTTCTGTATTCCACTCCAAATCGGGTAGTCCCCTCACAACCTGTCCTGCCCTGGTAGAGCTGCCATGCGGATGGAACTGGAAGCGGAGAAGAGCCGCTCGGGGCTAAAACACCGCAGACACACTGTCTTACCTGCTTTGGAAGTTTTTCTTGGATAAGAACTTCTCAATTTGTTGTGTGCCTTTGATCAATTTCCAGAATCCTAAATGGTTTGGGTTTTTTTAATTGTCCATTTATTCCTTTTGAGGGAAATAATTTGCTGAGCTTCTCACTCTGCCGTTTGTCATTCCAGAAATGAATAGATAGACGTGTATATGGATACTTTTATTCATATTCTTTATAAGTTCCTCTATAATTTTCAGCCTTCTTAAAGTTTTACTCTCCCCATCTGAAAGGCCTTTATCCATTTCCAGCAAAGTCCTGCTCGTCTTTCTTCACAAGACTAAAGACTTTCACAGAACCTTTCCTGATTTTCCAGACTTTGAGTGGTTCTTCCATGTTTGTACATCCATAGTTGTTCATAACTTCTACAACTCTTCATATTCTGCCTTCTAATTTTTATTTGTGGACATGTCTTTGTGTCTTCTACTAGGTTAAGGATGTAGACAGTATCTTAGTCATCTTTTTATTCCTTTTAACAACAAATTTGTTGAATAAACAGCCCAGTTCTCAGAGCTGACACTCTTTCCACCAGGCCAGGCTGCCCCATTTAAGGATGACCGCAGTCCATTATTACTCTTGATTCTGAGTTTTCTATCAACAAAAACTTTA